TGGGGGCCAAATATAGTAAAACTATGTTTTTAGTTTTTCTCTCTAACGTCAGGATTTTTTTTTTAAGAATGTGTTTTTAGGTTTTTCCTCTAACGCCAGGATTTTTTTTTTAAGAATTGGAATATGATTGAATAAAAAAATTATTCAAAAGATTAGGTGCATTTTAGAATAACAATATGGGTGATTAAAAGGAAAAATTCTGTAGAATAGAAAAAAAAAATTAATTTTTGGGTGCACCAGGACGAATAAGTATTGCAAATGTCCTTTAAAAACTTTATCGTTGGAAATTTCCAATATTTGTTAACTACAACATCCTCGAATTGCGTCCTTCTAACCTTATTAGTTTCAGATAAAAAAAAAATTTACACTTCTCTTTATAAGATATTGATAGTTACAATATACTTAAATGAAGATAAGGGCATCATTGTTATGGAACCATGTATGCGCTCTAAAAGAACAAACTAACCGTATGATGTACGGTTTAAATACTTTACAGGACAGGAGTTTATATAGAGGGGAAAAATGTTTTTAATGAATTTTTGTTTGTATATGAATAGAAATTTTTGGGTTTAAGAAAGTGTAAGTTTTCTGGTATCCTTTACAACGATGCCATTTAAAAAAAAAAACGGTTTGTATTTTTTTGTTTAAAATACTTTTTTATAAAAAATGTATTTTTTGCTTTTAAATGTTTTTTTTTTCTAAAATTTTTATATGCGAAGTATACAAATATGCATAAGAAAGGAGTTTAATCGCCTTTACAACGATACCAAATTTTAAAAAATCGTTTAGTAATTTTTTTTGTAACTTATGTTTGGTAGTTTACATATTAGTCCTTGACATATATCTTTTCCAAAAATAAATATTGGAAATTTCCAAGGATATTCAAGGATAAAGTTTTAAAAGGACATTTTCAACACTTACTCGTCCTGGTGCACTAAAAAATTAAATTTCAATTTCAATTCTACAGCATTTTGCCTTTTAATTGATACCCATATTGTTACTTTACAATGCACCAAATCTTTTAAATAATTTTTTTTCTCAATCATATTCTAGAAATTTCAAAGTCTTTTAAAAAAATCCTGACGTCAGAGAGAAAAATTAAAAACGTTATACTGTATGTGGCTGCTAGTTTTGTGAATATATTGATTTTTTCGTATGTTTTAAAAATTTTTGGTTTTTGTAGCACGGTGTAATTTGACTTTTAAGTTAAGGCGTTCGAGTAAACGTGTTAGCTCATTGTGTGTTTTGCTACGGGGCGTATAAGTATTTTTACTTTTCTTAGTATGTACATCAGTTCGTCGGAATATTTTTTGTTTTTTTATTTTTAATTTTTTATTTTTTATGTATTTCGATAATTCTTTTTGCATCGGAAAGGTAGTGTCTCAGAGGTGGTCCCATACTAATCATCATGAGTTTTTTTTTGCTAAAAATTAATGTTTTTTTTTTACTTTTTCAGCCATTAGTGTAGGCCTTTTAACTCAAAAATGCATTTTTCTACTGCCTTACCTTAGATTCCTTCCTTCAAAAAAATAGTCATTGCATTGCCTAGTCTTTTAGCTTACTTTTGAAGTTCTTCTATATGCAAAAATTTAAAAAGTCTCTTTTATATTTTTTACCTATGTTGTTTTTTATTTACAGAATTAGGTTTACAAGCAAATATACACATATGAATTTTTTCAAATTATATTTAAAATTTTGCTACGCAAGGCCATTTTAGACTTCTCTTGTGATAACATTCATATACATACGGACATACAATTGTGGAGTATAGTTTAATTACATTTTGTATTTTAACAAATAATCCAAGCCATTGTATATACTACGAGTAAGTTTTTGATTTGACGAGTAAGTAGCTCATATCAGAACGATAACCGTTACGTTAAAAAAATATAATATATGTATAAAAATCGTTTACAAATAAAAACAAAAAAATGTGTAAATAAGGAATCCATAAAAGTAAACAAAAATACTTAAACTAAGTTTCATATTGATCTCGTTTAACTTAATTTAATTTATTGACAATATTGTTTTAAAAAACTTTTTTCTTTCGCTGTTGCATTCTATTAAGTAAATATCGTTTTTTGTTTGTTTTTGTAATTAGCCAAATAAAATTTAACAACAACTATCGAGCAAGAATTTTGACAAGTATCGCGTTATTCGATTCTAAAAATTTTAACCTTAATAAAAAAAAAGTACAATAATTATTAAGTACATAGTTTATAAAACACCACAGTCACTAAAAGCTTTGTTTTTAAACAAATGTATTTAAAAAAAAAAAAAACGAAATATTTAGGAAGAAATATGTATATACATAAAATAGCTGTAGAGTTGTGTTTTAGTGTAGTTTTTTAAATGTAGTTTAAACAACAGTTATCGATGTATGTACAAGTAGTAATGAGATGATTGACTACGTCTTCAGTTACTGATAATCGATAGAAAAGTACCATCGATAGAAAAGTACGCTATCATATAACTAGTGTGGTGTGAAAACGATGACAAATGCTATTTACTCGGTTGGTGATGAGCGCACGAATTTAAAATTTTCTGCAGAATCTGATTGATAGTCAATTAGTTAGCGTACAAGTTAATCATTTCATTCAGGTTGTTATCGAGGATGCAGTGGTGCGTCGCTCAACAACGCATCGCAGCATCTTCGCTTAGAAAATCTGGTGTCCCATTCTTTGTGAATTCATTCATTTTATATGTACATACATACATTGCATTAAATTTTTGTGACAACAACGTTAAAAGCACTTAACAATAAATACAATTAGCAGTAACTCAACTCACATTGCTGATGGTGTATGAAATTTCGGAATATTATGGTACTCATTTCAGCTTACTTGTTATAAGAGAGTGATTTATGTAGCTTTCAAAGTTTGTGTGTATGGATAATTTTGCATTTTCTACATGTCTTTTTTTGTTACTAAATAAATATGCTTTTACTACTCCTGCTGCCTTTTAATGGTTTTCATGAAAATTTCACTTTCAACTTTTTATGATTTTGCTATGGTAATTTCTCGCGGTGTACACATGCATGCAAATATGTCTGTAAATGCAATTAGAGTATTTAAATTTTATTGTTGAAAGGCAGTATGTGTGAGATGAAGACAGCTGTAGATAGTTGAGGTCGCGACCGTACTTAGATCAGCGCCGTAATCAGTTTGGCTTTGAAGTTGACGAATTTTTCGCTGGTTGCCGCAATGCGCTGCGTAGTAAAAAAAAAAATGATAATAACAAATGAATATCGCTATAATTTCTGTATTCCTTAATCGTATAGTACCAATATCAAATCCTGTATCAGATTGGCCAAGCCTCTGTTCGCCAGCACCACCAATCGTGTTACCGGTCCGGGAATACCTTCCGTAAAGCCATCAGCCGCACGATTCGCATCACTATCACCATCTGAGTCACCGCCGCCTCCTACGCTATTAGCGCCGTTGGCCGCTTCATCACCAGTCTGTGTCTGTACGCTGCCCGAGAACAACTGCATCGGTAAGAGATGAGAAATTCATATATTTTTGATTAATTATTTATATGTATATATATTTTTATGTCAAGCACTGTATTCGAAGTGGTAATAGTAAAGGCACTTCAACTTACGCGTATGATATCGAAGAGGAAATTGCCGGAACCACCGCCTGCTGCCGCATTACCGGTGTTACCGCTTGAACCGCCAGCAACGCCGCCTCCACCGAAGCTCAGGAACCTTTTGAATAAATTGCTTTTGAAATTTTTATCAAATCGGTTAGTGTGTTTTGTGTTACCAGAATTTCTTTCATGCTTATGCAGATGGTAGATGTATGTAGTATACATACATAAATATGTATGTATGTATGTTATAAGTCAATTGTACGTGTTGAGCCAATTGGTTTGTTCAAACGTTAGAGGTTATATATGTACGTGGTTATAAAGAATTTAGTGTTGCATTGCTGGTGAGATCAGATGAGAAGCACGCAAAGATCGCGGTACCAAATCAAATTAAATTTCTTAGCGACTTTTAGATGTTCAAAAAGATAACACATGCTAACTGAAAAAAATGCATTTGCACGACAAACGAGACTACCTAGTAGACTGCCATAGATTTTCAGTTGTTGACTTCGTGTCTAACCTCAAATAACATATGTGTGTAGCAATATATTTCTTGCAAACCAAACTAGACAAAGCTCATAGAGTTAAAGTCGAGAATCTGAACCCGAGCCAAAACAAAGTAACTGCGCCTGGGCCACACTGGAGAAGTGAAACTTAAGTTACATATCTATTTTGTTTCATAACCAATATATGTATGTACCTACATACATCAGCTTTAGATTAATGCTATTTTTTTTGTCTTTTTTCGATCTAGATCCCTACCTGTTATTTTGTTTTCCTTTGTCTTAATTTTTATCCAACCAAATCCATAGTAACATCCAACAAAATATCAATAACAAAATCGATAAAAATATCGATAACATCGATTACAAAGTTGATAAAAATTTCGATAGAAAAATCGATAACAATATTGTAAGCAAAATCGATAAAAATACCGATATCCAATTCTATAAATAATCGATAATAAATACGATAAATAATCGATAACAAAATCGATAAATAATATATAGCAAAATCGATAATATCGATAACAAAATCTATAACAACTTCGAAAAAAATTCTATAAAAATATCGATAGCAAAATCGAAAGCAATGTCGATAAAACATATCGATTACAGAATCGATAACAAAATCGGTAAGAATATCAATTATTATATCGATAAATTCCAAAAATATCGATAGTAAAATCGATAACAGTATCGATAACAAAATGGATAAAAGTATCGATAACAAAACCGATAAAAATATCGATTATTTTATCCCAAAATAGTTCCCTGACTGAGTCTCTGTGTCTCTATCTATATTCTTTTATCTATAATTACCTTTATTTTAATCTCTCTTCCTCTGTCTTCATCCTTACTTTTATCGGTATCCTCATCCTCATCTTTTTCTTTATGTTTATCTTTGGTTTTACTTTAGTGTTTATCATTTTCTTCATCTACATATTCTCCTTCACCTTTGCCCGTATATACGTAAAGTGTCTAATTTTACCTTGGTCTTAATTTTTTCCTTTATCTTTACGCATCTTTGTTTTTGTTCTTATTTTTACCTTTGCCTTTAACTTTTTCTTTATCTATGTACGTACTCACCTTTACTTTCAATATCGTATTGGTCTTTTTCTAAGTGTTATTCTTTAAGCTTTTATTAGCAAGATTTTGTTAAATTAATACCATGTGCTCTTCTTTCTGCCCCAACTATTTCCGTGTGCAATTTCCGTTGCACCATTTCCGTGTGAAATTTCCGTTGGATTTGCCAATTTATTCCCAACCAACCAATCGCCGCTAAAGAAGTTTCACTTCAAATACAATTAGAATTGAATTGGCTTTATGCCAGGTTTCCACTCGGCATTAAATGACAAACAACTTGATAACAAATTTGATAATTATGTTAAAAACAAAAGTCATTAAATACTCTATTCTGGCTTTAAATACTACGCCTAAAACTTTGGCGCCGAACATAAACATTGTTTCGTCCTTGTCACGTACTCAATAGGTCATACCAACATAGAAAATTATAATTATTGAACGCTGAGATAAGATAAAACAATCATACTTGCCTGAGTTTAGTACAAAGTTACAATAATTTATCGAGTACTAATAGTTCATCGCACGGCGCTTAAGATATTATAAATTTATGGCTATCGACCAGTCGAAATAAAATGGCTAAGGGTAAAAATACTGTTGGAAAATGTGTCGCGGATGACATGGTGAGGAAGGATACCCATAATCTCATCGAGAGAAGAGAGACTGACTGTTCTTTTCACTACACGCGCACTGCTCTTGGACAGAAGGACGCATGTGAATTTGTGAGGGCCTTAGGCGGTCAAGATACCTTCTCGGGCCTACAAAGACGCCACTTTCAATACTTGCGGGTGCATTGAGTAGAATTAATTGACAGGAAACTGATGGGTGTTAAGACCAAGTACCACACCGTATTCTCATTATGGCAGCTAATTAGAAGACTAAAATGTCCAATCGTATCAAAACTTGCTTTTAAGCTGCCTTCGCTCGCACTTTTGGACCAGCCCTGAAGAGAAATCCGCATTCAATCTCAAACAAACCTCATATCGATGGCTGAGTGGAAGATCGACCTATCTCGGCAGCCAG